ACGGTTCCATCACTCATACACGATGACATTATGACGAGAGCCTTCCCAGAAGGCCTCTCGTCACAAAAACTGTAACCCGTTCACTATTGAACTGATTTGAGGATTTTGCATTTGTCGTTTTTCTCTGTGAGTATTCTCGTCATTATCGATCAATCAGGTGGCTATTAATTATTGACCGTCAAGGATTGTCCTCGGTTGATAAAACAACTGTCAAGCTTTTTCTTGTCAGTATTAATATATGCTTTTTTGAATTAGTCATGTACTTTTGACATAATTATATATTCGAAAATGTGGTATTAATAAAACTAGACGCTTGTAAAGCGTGATGCGGGCTAGCTTAGCAAAAGATTCACAATACAAGATAAAAATTGTATCTCCACTGAATATTGTGACTATGACGTAACTATATATGAAAGTAAAATATGCCGTCGAATACCTTAGTTTTCTTTGCAGTTCAATTCTTATCGTTAACCTTCACTGTCTGCTATAATCTTATCATATATCAACTATCAACCATAATCTTTTTGCTATAGTGATTGTCCTACATTTGCAATGTATTTTGTAAAAATATTTATGGAAGCTCTTTACTTCTTGGTTAGCGATATCACATCTATTATTATTATATATCAAGTGTCAAAGTTCACTTTTCCTAGTATCTTATTGGTCGAGAGTGTACCACGTGAAAGTCACAAAATTTTACTGTTTCCCGGCAACTGTCTACCAGCGGTCAATAATATGTTGTGGACCGTCAATAAGTACAAAATCGCAGAAAAACACTCTTCAGTGTCGTGAAAATGCCACATTTATGGACGGTGAATTCCAAAATTGTTTTGAAACATTTAATTTCGTCTACAAATACTTATTGTATTCATTGTGTTATTACATTGATTGATTTTAGTGACATTTGACTATTTGTATAGCCATTTTTCAGTCATATCAAAATCTTTAATAAAAACACTTCATTTATTTACGTTTTTTGCTCTCTTTGACACTTGATATGATAATAAAGCACTTATTTACTGGAAACCTCGGGAAACAGTATGTTTTGCGGTCCCTCGACCGCTGATGTTTYCCTCAGCTTCGCTTCGGGAAACATCACCGGTCTCGGGACCACAAAACATACTGTTTCCCTCGGTTCCAGTAAA